AAGCTCCCTTAGGGCCAAGGAGATGGCTCAGTAGAATAGGCACTTGCCTGGCAAGTGCAAGGGCCTGAGTTCAATCCCCGGTTCCAAAAAAAAAAAAGAGGCCCTGTTATCAAAAGCCTCAGGCGTGGGGGCCTGCCCCTTAGCTCAGTTCTTTAAGTGGCTGCTTCAACCAAGCAGTCAGGCTCAGGTTGCTGTGATTCAAGCCCCACAACTCAAGCCAGCCAAACCTGACCTGAAGGCATTCGGAGAAAAAAAAAAGCGTCTGGCGGAGGTGGTATAGGAGGCGAACAAGGCCTCTGATCTCCCCCATCACAAACTGTCGCCTGGGTCCTGAGCCCTCTGCTGTCCTGGACCTGAGGGAATGCTCTACACAGCACATCTACAACTTGGGGCATGGCCCCCCAAAGAGCTCAGATTCTGTCTTCAGCTTCCCAGTGGAAAGGAGGCAGCCACAGCATTCCAGCCCTCCACACCCAGGAAGCTTAGCTGCCGAAGGCAAGGGGTTCCCAAGGAAGCCAGAGCCCGCGCTGCTCTCCTCCAAGCTTCTGACATTCTTAACCGGGACTCTAAGAAATGATGACCAGGCGGGGCCGCGCTTCATTCCTCCGCCAGTAACAAACATTCCTGAGGCCGCAGGGGGCCTAGTGACCCTCCTAGCCCATCCCTCCATTGCCCGGTTGGAATTCAAGCCACTAGGTGATATTTTGCAAGTCAGCCCCCTCCCCCACCGAGGTTTTCAGTTGGCTCAACTGCCTGGGAAGAGCAGCAAAACCAGGCAGGACCACAGACACCCACCCTGTCCAGGCCCATGCTATCTGGCATCTGTGTGTGCTCCCAGAAACATACGCCCTTCAGTCTTGGAACCCAGACCCCACTCCTGCTCTCCGCAACCCTAGCAAGGAGAGCCGTGCCCCAGTGCTTGTTTGCTAACGGTAGCAGGATCTCAAAGCAAGTCAGGGTAAGCGCACCAGGTAGCTAGGAATCTTTCCCTCTTTCTGCAGAAGTCCTGCAGGGTGAGTTTCAGACATCCTCCTCACACTTCCATTGGGCTAGTCTCCCACGAAGAGAGCATCTCTAACTTCAAACCGGACCTAGAGAAAAGAAGGTGCTCACAACCCCTCTGAAAGGTCAAGACAAAGGACTGGAAGTCCCAACTTCTATTTCCTTTCTCTGGCTACAAAAATGCAGGTGTAGCAAGTACTTAGGTTTTATTACACAAATAAAAAAGCCTTTTCCAGGTCCCGCGGGTATGGTGGGTATGGTGGATATGGTGGTGCAAATCTGTAATCCCAGCACTCTGGAGGCTGAGGCAGAAGAATCTTTGCAACTTCAAGATCAGCCTGGGCTACAAAGTGAGCTCAAGGCCAGTCTGAATGGCATAGTGAGACCCTGATTTTTTTTTTTTTTTTAAAGTCTTTTCATAGGGCCAACCTGTGAGTAAAAAATCGCAGTCTACCCAAACACTGTTCATGCCAGGGCTCCAAACACACTAGCCTCCCAGACAGTGTCTATCAGAAGAATTAAGTAACAGCTGAAGGGGCCAGGAAGATGGAATAAGTGCTTCCCTGGCAAGCGCAAGGGCCTGAGTTCAATCCCTGATTCCATCAAAAAAAAAAAAAAAAAAAAAAAAAAAAAAAAAAAATTAAAAAGTAACAGCTGAAACGCTTTACAAGCAAAGGGAACAAGTCATCAAAGTGATTCCAAGTCAAAACTGCACTGCCCTGCTGTCTGGGGGGACCTTCCTAGTGGTCTCATCCTGCGACCCACAGGCATGGAACAATGCCCAAGACAATGGAGGATTCAACCCAGAAAGTCATCAGTGTCAAGGCTGAAAAGTGGTCATGTAACAGGTGCCACCACTGTATTTGAGCTCCTGGGTAGCAAGGGTTGGCCTATGTGCTGGGATTACAGGAGGTGCCCCCACACCAGTTTAGAACCAGCCCTACATACTCTTTTTTTTTTTTTTTTGGTGGCCGGCTTAGCCCACCCTGGGGGTAAGGCTGGTGCGGTCCGGGGATTGGGTCCGGGGATTGAATCACGGACCTGCACACTTGCCTAAGTAGGTACTTTAGACCGCTGAGCTATCTCATCAGCCCCTTACTCTTGACAACCCCTCTTGTTTGTTTCCTGTGGTTCTCAGCAAGTGCACTACGTCTGCGCTGTACACACAACCTCTTTCAGAGTTGTTTGTCTTGGTTTTGGTTTTGTTATACTGGGGATTGAACCCAGAGCCATGCCCACATTAGGCAGGTGTTCTGCCAGTGCGCTATATCCCCAGTCCCTTTCTAAAAAATTTTATTTTGATACAGTGTTTCACTAAATTGCTAAATTGCCCAGCTGGCCGTGACTTTTGGATCCTCCTGCCTCAGCCTCCTGAGTAGAGGAGCTGGAATTACAAAGAGAGCCACCACTGTGGAACTTCTATGGTATGCATTCTCACAAGACTTTCAAATAACACACTCATGCTCACGAAAAGGGTATGTGCTCTTATCTTTGGATCAGGCAACCCCCTAATCAGAGTCTGCTATACAGAAAACGAATCCTGCACCCCAGCGTGGTGGTGCATGCATGTAATCCCAGTACTTGGGAAGGTGAGAAGGGAGGATCCCTGTGAGTTCAAGACCAGCCCAGGGGCTACAAAGTGAGCACAAGGCCAGTCCAAACTACATAGAAAGACAATGTCACAAAAATGAAAATGAATCCTGGAATACTTGAAGGCTCTAATAGCGTAACTAGTTACAATGCTTATGTTTAAGTGCAAAAGAACTATTAAAATAATGACTAGAATGATTATTTAATGAGCCCCAGTGAACTTTCCAGCAGCTACTGAGAGAAAGGAAGGATTCAAATCCTGAATTTAATTTAATTCTGGCTGTAGAACAACCCCCCACCCCATCCATCACAACAGCCTGTTTTCCCCCTTTTAAGTGGTCATAAATGGACATATTTCTTTGCATCCTTTTTAAATCAAGGCACAGCTAGTTACCAGCTGTTGGGGTACAGGCAAGCACCACGGATGATCTTACACTGTTCAAGTGCCAGGCGTGAGAAACACTGCCGACACTGGGCGCAGGCTATCCTAAGGAAAAAATCCCAATCTTCCATCACATTGGAGCATATGAATTAAGCAGGACCCACTTCAATTTCTACAAAGCACAGGAAAAAAAAACTAAGAATGTTCTGAGGGGGGAACCTGGAGTACCTGTAGGAAGATGGGCACTACATACAGACCCTCCCTCAGCTTCTCAAAGAACAACTCTGAGCTAAACTGACCTCCTTACAGTATACAGGGTCAAAAAGTCAAGTTTCAGGTTAACATTTTTTGGCATATCCCACCTATTAGAAAGCCAAGTGGTCTGAGGAAGATGTGTGGAATTGATTATGTATCTTAAAAAAAAACAACAACAACAATCAGTGGGGCACCGTGGTGCATGCCTGTAACACCAGCACTCTGAGAGGCTGAGGCAGGAAGATCCCAAGTTCCAACTCAGCCTGGGCTCTACATGCAGCTCACGAAGACCTGCTCTCGAAATAAAAAATAAAACAAATACTCTTTAAACTAACAATGAAAATAAATACAAAATTTAAAACAGGGCTGAGGCTGTACCTCAGTGCAAAGGCCCTGGGTTTAGTCTCCATTATTACACCAAAATAAAAGAAAGGAAAGACTTGTGTGACTTACCTGCTGGCTTTCTCACTGATGCCATCAGAAACAGCCTCTAAAATCTTTCCTCTATAAGACACTGGTTAAGATGCTTTAAGAAAGACAACGAACGCCCTCGCTGGCCAAGGTACACACTACACGACTGCCTCAGCCCCTTTCACAGAAGCCAATGTGATAAAGGATTATGCCAGGCTACACTCATAACAACTACAAAAACCTCTAGCCGGAGTTCATCACAAATTTAGTGCACAGCTAAAGGAGCTCCCGTCAAAGTCTGCAGTTTGAAGTACGAAAGTGAGGAAAGGGCTGAGGGGTAGCTCAGGGATACATACAGTCCTTGGTCTGAGACCCTGGGACCAATCTTTAACCTGACAGAGAAAAGTGTGAGAGTGGGAAAAAGTACACAAGTTTTGGTGTCTCTGTGGTTTGAACAACAAAGCCACTTTACTTCCCAAAGTCATCCCCTTGGGGTGAGTTAGAAGCCCCATGATTTCTTCCTGCTGTGGAGGGGGAGGAAAGCGAAAACCTGCAAGTCACCTTCAAACGCTCCCAGCTGCCCGGAGTATTTGCATGTTAAAGGGAACTTTGGCTCTAAAAGCGGCCAGGCTCTAGGCCTTTCCCAAAGTAACTGACCACCGGACACTCAGAACTAGAAGAAAGCAGAGCGGTTGGTTGGTTTGTGTTTCCAGGTTCCTACAGACCTGGGTGGTAAAATTTCAAGACATACTTGACTTTGAGCCGGGAGATTCCAAGTTCGGAAGCAGCATCCCTCCCACACACACAGACACTGAAGTGAAGACGCATGAGGTATTCTTACTATGGGAACCCAAGTCCTACTGTTACAGGCAAGCTGAAAACTTTCTCTAAGTTTTCAGGTACCCTGTGCACGAGGATGTAGGGCTGGCGGCAGAAGGTCAATAAATATTGATGGCTGATGGGAATCGAGACGCCCGGCCGGCGGCAGCTGCCCAGCTGGGTTTCTCCTAGCGATAACGGCTGCAGCGCCCAAACCCCGGACCTTGGCGAGGCCCACACAGGTGGGGAAGGCTCTGCCCAGCCCCTGGGTCCTTGGAGGCTTTCCGGTCCCTCTGGGCAGCGCCCCAGGTGCGAGTCACCGGCGAGACTGGAGTGACAGGGGACCCGGCTAGGCCATTTCCCGAAGGAGAAACGGAAAGGGACGCGGAACAGGAGCCATGGACGCTTGGCGGCGCCGGAACCACACACCTCCGCCCGCCCGAGTCCAGGTCTCCGCAGGTGCCTCCCGCAGCCGCGCGTCTCGAACACCCCACGAGCGCAGCCCCCGGCGCCCGGCCACCTGGGGTCGCGGCCGCCTCACCTTGGTGATGACCAGCGGCTCGCCGTGCTCGCGGCCGCCCTTCAGGGTGAAGCCCCAGGGCGCTCCGCCGCTCAGCTGCACCTCCACCAGCCGCCCGCCGTCGCTCGCCCGCGCCTCGGCCTCCGCCAGGCCCTCCATGGCGGGCCCCGCAGCGGCCAGCGCCCATGCACCCCAGGGCGCCCCGGCCGGCCGAGGGCGAGGGAGACTCCGGGCGCCCGCGCCGCCGCCCGCCACCGGCGAACTTGCGCTGCAACTTCAGAGCAGAGCGCCGGTCGCGCCGGGAGGGAGCCGGGAGGAGGAGGCACGGGGAGCGGGGAAGGGGTGGGGAGGAGGGCGGTGCAGCGCGGAGCAGAGGCGGGGCGCGCACTCGGGGGCTCCCGCCCGGGCTGGAGGTTGGGGCCGGGGGCGGGGCGGGGCGGGGCGTGCGCGCATTGGGTCTGGGCACCAGCTGGAGGTTACCCGCAGGCTTGGGGGCTGGGGGCGGGGCTTGCCCTTTGGGGGTCCACCCGGCCTATAGAATAGCGGGTTTGGGCTTGGGCTTGGGGACGCGCGATCTGGAGTCTAGTCTGGGTTGAAGGGGAGGGGTCTGGGCTACACGGTGCCGCGATCGGGGCTCCCGTCCTGGATGGAGGGAAGGGGGTCCAAGGCCCGGGACGCGCGAGCTTGGGTCCAGCCCCGACTGGAGGGTAGGGACCTAAACCGGGGATCGCGAGATCCAGGGTCCCTGCCAGTAGGAGCCGCGTGCACTGAAGATCGCTTCAGGAAGAAGCTGGGGTCGCCTCAGGAAGGGCCGACTCTGGCGACCAATTGGCGGAGCGGCCGACATAGAACGCGCGCTCGGGGACTGGCGCCACCTGCGGGCCAGGGCAGGGCTGGGGTTGAGGCGCCCTGAGGCCCGGGCGCAACAGGTGAGCGGCGGAAGCGGCGGGGCGGAGCGGGCGCGTGGCGGCGGCCACTAGGAGGCCCCGCGCCTTCTGTCTTGCAGCGCGAGGACGCTCGCCTTTGTCCCCGAGCGCCGCAGGACGCGGCCGCCAGGTGAGGGCGG